TGAGTCAAGGTTTCGGGGCCTGAATTTTTTATGTTACTAGGTAGGCCTAACAATCAGGTATTAAAATAGGACTTTTAATGATGATAGGCTCTAGGCTAGGCCTAAAGGGTAGGCTAGCCAGCATTTGTTGAAAGGGCACTTCATGAAAAGGGGGGGGGGGTTCGTTCGAACCCAACGAACCCCCCTGGCTACGGGCTTGGTAATAACAAAATAGAGTTAGATTGGGTTGCAACAAACCAAAATACAGAAATTTTATTCTATGTGAACATGTTAGTTTTGCAAAATATTTCCAAAAAAACTATACATGTTATATTTATGAATATTGTAGAATGAATGAATTTGTAAGTGATTGAATAAATGAATAGTTGTATAAAATAACTGTGCTCTTTTAGTAATTTTTACTTAATATTTTTTTATGATGATTTCCTACAGGAGAGACAGCAGGCATTGGAGCAAATGGGAATCTCCGTTCAAGCATCAGGGATCAAAGTTGAGCGGAATAAGTGTTTCTTGGTGAATCTAAATGCTGATCCATCACTTAATGAACTGTTAGTGTACTACCTCAAGGTAAGAACTATTAGAAAGATAACCATTGACAGAGCACGTCATTATGATAATTTAACTCTGTTGATTTGGTTGAGTGAGTGAAATTCATTTCCAGTGCAAAGGGTGTTGATCAATCAAATAAACATTTATTATTAATTATATATTATTATATATTAATTTAATTATAATATTATTATTAATCTTTTTAAAAGAATACATCTACAACAGATTTTTTTTTAAATATAATGTAAATACGAGGAAATAATTAATGGCTGTTGATTGAACATCCTAACTTCCTATATCATCAGTGTAATAACTGTGTTCACTCATTTATTTCAGATACCCAACCTAATTAATTATTTACTTAATTAATTATCAGTTATCTGTGAAGATGCTTTACAAATGATAATAAAGATGTATTGAACATAGAAATTAGTGTATTTAAAAGATGTTAAAAGGTATAGGTAGGAAATAACCTGTGGTGTCTCTTGCAACTTTAACTAGGCTGAATTGCGAACAGAAGTGTCCTATCAGCCGCCAAGAGGCGTACCCATAATTTTACTGCGAAAAATAATAGAAATGCTTCTAGTCAATGGAAGTATATATTATTTTTTTGTCATCCAGTATAAACATCAGGATGCACTTTTTGTAAATTTGATAATTTCTATTTTTATTTGTGCAAGATGAGCAAGTTAATTTCAAAACTATTTTTTAAAACTATAATATCTGTATATGCATATGGTTTACTTCCCACATAATTTTCCAATCCAATATTCTATTTATGCTTAGACGACAAGCTTATTCACTTTTTTTTCTCTCTCTTACAGGAGCACACATTAGTTGGTAGGCCTGAGACAGAACCTGTACAAGATATTCAACTAAGTGGCCTAGGAATCAGTCCTCAGCATTGTATCATTGACATACAGAATCAGACTGATGTGTCCATTGTACCACTGCCAAATGCTAGGTAACCACCAAAATAATACCACAACTCCTCTGGTAAAGCTTCCCATCTCACCTGAAAAAAATTGGCCAATTTGGTGGTGGCTTGGATGTGGAATCCCATTTTCACAAAAAAAATGGGACAATCCTTTTCTAAACTGACAGCATGTTTTCTTATAGTTAGTAGAAAGGGTCAATCAAAAGGCATTTTCTCATTTCAACTCTGCATGTCTAATTAAAAGCCAATCATGGGGTTTTTTTTCTGAAAGTAGTTATAAATGTCAGTTGAGTTAGACATTCAAATTATATCCTGGGTTTTTTGCCATGAAAAATCATATATTTAAAACCAGGCTTATATCTGCGGTGGGCTTATACTTGAATGGGGTTATACCCAACTAGGAACTATGGAAACAGTAAATAAACACATAAATAGCGCTTGTGTCCATCTAAGTGCATTATGACTCTTTCAAATCCATTTAAGTGACATTTCCGATGTAAAAGGCATAAGAAAAATATAAAGGTATTAAGTTTCTTAAAACATAATCAATATTATGAATATTATTAGAAATTTCTTGTTTTATGATGTGAAGAACTTAAAAGCAGAGATGAAATAAATGGGGTAAAAAAAAAACGACAAATAAGTGAAAAACTGAACTACATATTATTGGTGGTAGTATGTATAATGTTAAATTATTGTTCTTTATAGAACATGTGTGAACGGTTCCATAATTAAAAGTAGGACAGCCTTACGGCATGGCGACAGAATACTTTGGGGTAACAACCATTTCTTCCGCATCAACTGCCCAAGATCGCCTGGTGTAGGTAAGTATAGAAGTTTCTTTGCTCTTTGAGCTCAGATGATAGATCAAAATTATACACTCAAACACAAAAATCAATACAAAGCTTTTCATTGAAAAAGGATCATTTAGAACTACTACTAGCTAATCATTTTTTGGGGATATTCTTTTATGAATGAAAAAAGCAGCTCAGTTAAAAGCCATTGATTTCTTTATTAAATATGTTAAATATTGACCAATACATGCCCACATAATGTCCTCAAATATAAAATGATCATGCACATACAAATTAAATTGTTTATATCAAAATTAGATGACACATTCTCTGATTGTATGCATGTAATGTTCAAGTATAACAATATTAACTTTCAAGGAAGGTAGCAGAGTTAGAACTGCTTGTGTGCTGTGAAGTTATTGCTGAGATTGCTCTTTAACTTATATGCATTATACCATGTTTATGTAAATTATCTCTTTCCGTCACATAGGATCCAGTGGAGGTAGTACCCCGGAGCCTGAGACAAAGAACACACAGTATGACTTCAACTTTGCTCAGAATGAAGTCATGATGCAGGAACTTGTGAATGGTAATTTCAGTTGATTTCACCCATCTTGTTTCATAGATTCAGTTTTAAAAACATAGTGCCAATAAATAAACTAATAACTGTTTGTAGTAAAAACTGTAAAAAGAACCATGAGAATTCAATTAATATTCATTGAATTACCTATTTAAAAAATTGGAGTGAAGGGTTAAATAGCTTGGTAGTTAAGATGCTTGTCTTCTAATCGTGGGTTAAAACCCTGCCACAGCAAGTGTTTTTTCTCACGAATAAAAACAGCTCTACTCCCCAGACCTATATAGATATATACTGTATATTGGTACAAATCTTTGTGGTAGCTGAACAATACTATGTTATGATGTTAATACATATTCTACCACAAGGAAACATTTAATATAATAAATTATGTAATTATAAATCAACAGATCCTATTCAAGCAGCCATGACACTTCTTGAGGATCAGCACAAGAAAGATAAAGATGGTGCCTTAGAAAAGCAGCGACAGATGTATGAACAACAGTTAGAGAGCCTTAGGAAACAACTAAAACCACAGATACATAGGTCAGAAGAGAACACAAACCCAGAGAGGTGTAGTAGCCCAAGCAGCAGTGAAGGGGGAAGCGAGGCAAATTCTTCGATGGAAGATAGATGGGCAGATGCAAGGTACATTTCAGTTTAGCATTTCAATTCATCCATCATTGCCTTCAGAAAACATAAACATCCTGGAATTTCATCCTGCATATACTGTTGATGAACAGCATTATTTTGTTTTAAGATGATTTGGGATGAACCATTTTTTAATTTTTAATGTTTCATTTTCACAATGTAAATTTTTTGATATTTCTACAGAGAAGATGAATTCAAACAATGTTTAGCCAAATTAAAAGAGGATGTCTTGAAAGCAAACTCACTCGCAAGAGAGGCCAACTTCTTGAGTGAAGAGATGGGCAAACACACAGAGTTTCATGTCACCTTACAAATACCAGCAGCAAACCTCACACCAAATAGAAAGGTGAGTCATTGTGCAGGCCCAGAAGCATGAGCCGCTAGAAAGCTAGAATCATCTTCTCTGCTAAAGGGAAATATAACATTCTTATTCTGAGTACACTTTCATTTGTTTGTTCATTAATTTAGTTCATTCACTTGCTTGCCTACTCACTCATTTGTTTATTGATATATTCATCTATACACTAGTTCTCTCCATTCATTCATTTCTTCTTTCAATCATTTACGTAGTCATTTATTTTTTTAAAATTCAGTCACATGCATAAACAATCAGTTACATGCTAACACATTCATTCAATCATTCATTTATTCATTCGTTCATTCGTGCTTTCATTCATTCATTCTTTCATTCATTCATTCATTCACTCATTCATGCATTCATTCATTCAGTTCTTCTTTCACATCCTCACTCATTCATTTAAGCATTCATTTACATAGTCATTTCATTCCTCCACTCATTCATCCATTTATACATTCATTCTATTTATAGTCATCTGTACATTCATTCATTCATTAAATTATTTATACATTCATTCATTCAATAATTTTCCTTATGTATCCTTTAGACACCTTGTTGACTGGTAGTTATTGATTTTATGATAACATACACTATTCATTTAACCGTTCTCATATCTTTGTATATGCCTAGACTCTTTACTTGTCTGGTAACCAATATATATTTTAAATTGTAGAGAGGTGTTTTAGTAAGTGAACCAGCAATCAAAGTGAAGAGGAAGGGCAGGGGGACACAGGTGTGGTCTGTCGAGAAACTGGAAAACAAAATCGTCGACATGAGGGAATTGTACGGAGAAAAGAAGGAAAAGTACCTGAAGGTAAGGTGCATGCAAAAGAAGAGAAGGATTAGAGCAGAGCTGTTGATTGATGGTTAAGTAGGTGCTGTCCTAGGGCTGCCAGTTCAAAGCTCTTAAAATTTCAGGGTTGGGGATTATCTGTTTCAGCTTAGAAAAATGCTACTAATCAAAAAAGATGGCCTAAGCAAATTACTTAAGCTTTTATTAAACTTGTCTTAGATAAAAAGTTTAAAAAGATTAAAAATTTGAAATAGCAAAGTATGTGAGAAACAACCTTTTTAATATGCATCTTTGAGGAAAGTATTATGTATAACATTGTTTTAAGAATAGCTAAGCCAGGGGAAGGGGGAGGATCCCTATAGACATGTAGTTCATCAGGGCCTCTGTCTTGGCGTTGCAGGCTGGGCCTTTTCTATGACTGGCCATTACATATTGACCACTTCTTTATGTATAGTTCTTCTTAACATCATCAACAGATCAGAAATTTATCATTACTGCTTTTATCAGTAATCCTGTACTGTTCTGGTAGTGTTTATGTTTACTGGGGTAAATAGCTGATGTACATCAAAATTTATAGGCCTGAAGTCTTGTGAAGGAAATAATGAACAACGGAACAGATCAATTTGCAAACACAAAATTGTGAGCTGATTAATACAAGTGGTTTCTTGCATTAGCTGCAGCAAAGTTTTGCAAATTTTGGCGTGAGTTCACATCAGTACATCAGTCTAATTTCAACTGGTTTACATAAAAAATGAACTGGTGACTGGTATAGTTGCAGTAATATGTTTATATTCCTCCAGTGTGAACCAAGTGTACAGTCTGATTTATGTATACCACTTTTCTAACATTTTTAACAGTAAACATTAATTCATACTAATGTTCATCATAATTTATGTTAATTTATTCATAAAAGATAATATCAGTGCAATGCTTTATCCAAATAATTAATTACTCATTCATGATGTTCTACTAATGCATTTTCATGAATTTGTTTGCTAATAACATTACTTTTGCACCCTTTTTCATAAATATTCATGAATCATTTTTGCATTCTAGGAAGAGGATGGTATAATGCATCCCTTACACAAGATGTCATTCTTTGAGTCACAGGTGAAAATTGTTACTAACTTTCTTGGTTTTTGCTTATGTATTTATTTTAGTCATCTGGGAATAGTCATCTGGGAAAAGAATGGGTTTACTAATCATTTGTCAGTACCTTTATAATACTAATCATTTCACATTTTATTTCTAATAAACAAAGGGATTAAGCATAGTAATGTTTAATACACAATATTTTTTGTCTGTATTGAGAAGAAATTACTGATAACTTTATGTACAAAATATCTGTAGTAGTGCAACAGTTTTAATAGGAAGAATAGATATGGAAATACAGTTGTAGCTAATCCAATATTGATATGGGTTTTAGGGTTAAGGATTCATTAAAAGTAGTTTTGGAGTAGGGTATGCATGTGTTAGGTAGGCTGAGTGTTCAAAGTACCAGTAGGTTTTCAGTGAGTTTATGGTGAACAATATACTGATAGGGTGCATATTCCAAACACTAACAAGTCAGTCAGTGTTTCACTGCTGGTTAAAAAATTAAATTTTAAAATGTATTTTTATTTAGTTTAAAGAAGAATAAAAGTATAGAGCAAAATCAGATGGTCTTGTAGAGCAGCATGGGTGCTTTTGTTTGGACAAAATCTCACTTAGTACATTGTTTGATATTACCAACAAATAATTATCCACACTTCCTGTAGGTTTGAGCATGGACCTATAGGTCCATGGTTTGAGGTTACTGGTAGGGTTTGTGTAAAGGCAAAGTATGTTAATCTAGGGGTAGAAGTTGTTATGGGATAGGTTGTATGAATGGTGTTATTAGAGTATAGTGGCACACCATTTGAAATGGTGTACTATATCATATTAAGAGTGAGATTAAGTAGGAATGGTGTACATTTTAGTGACTTGTGTATAAGAAATAAGAGTTAAATGTTAGACTAGGTTTAGTTTAAAAAAATGTTAAGGGTGTTGCCCAAGAACACAACAAATGCGATGAGCGCCGTTCTCAGAAGTCCAACACTATACACGCTGTGCCACACGCTCCTTCAGGTTTGAGAGAATGTTCAAGAATTTGGAGGGCAATCAATTGATATAATATGATTTTTTAACAATATTTTTTCTGGACTGTATATGATTAATTATTAATGTGGGTTTGTCAGTATAATTTTTATGAAATACCTTTGCTAATTATAATAAATTTTTGTTTCATTTCATTTTTTGCTTTCTTTGCTGATCAGGATTCCTTGTTTTCTTCACGAGCTAATTTGTCTGAACAAACTGAGGTGATATATATGTTTCATATTCATTCCTTGAACCGTTTACCACTTGCCTGTTGTTGCCTGCTCCATTATTTATGCATGTTGCTTGCTTCCTTCCCTCATTTATGCCTGTTACTCGTTGCCTTACCTCATTTATGCCTGTTGCTCACTCTCTACCCTCATTTATGCTTGTTGCTGGTTCCCTTGCCTTATAGATGCATGTTGCTAGTTACATTTATTAATTTATGCCTATTACTACTGTAGGTCTCTTTATGCCAGATGCTTTTAAAGCCCCATTCCTGGCAAAATTTAACTAAAAAGAGACTTTTTTTTAGATAAAATGCATATGCATTACTCAAATTATTAAAAACCATGGAAAAATTTTGGCATTTTCTCATAAGAAATTACCATTTTCTCCACTATTTCTTTGTTACTTGGCAAGTTCTGAGGTTGTAGATCACATCGGCTGGAATGCTCTCACTTTTGTGTATACTTTGAACAGTCAATAAAGTTTGACCTATCCAGTCAGATTAATTTTTGTACTTCGCATCTCACACACTGCGGTTGATCGAGTAGGCTTGAGATATGTTTCTTTAATTGTCAAAATCTCGGTCAAAATCATTTTTTTTTAACACATTTGAAATAACTATAATGAAATATTATATTTCACAAGTGTCAATACTAGCAACGGAGAATATCATGTTGGCCGTTTTTATGTCTGATAACAGAACCTAAATCGAGGTAAGGCTAGGCCTAGCCTAGCAGTGTTGATATAGGTTAAAGTTTTCTGCGCCTACTATATTTCTTCGCAGACCTATCGCAAAATCAAACATTAAAAAATTCTTCCGCATTTGTTTTTTGTATGAACACAAACAAATCAAATTTCAGTCTTATTTTACATTTTTTTTCATGTTTAGGAATGTCTAAATTCAGTTAAACTAGCAATTTGTATTATATTTATAAATCTTCATAACATATAAAAATCGGATTTTTCTTAACAAGTGAAATTTTGCCGGGAATGAGGATTTAATTTGCATGTTTTATAATTTTTGTGAATAATTACAGTATTATTTGTGTATTATTTTATTGCTTATTATTATTGATATAACATATATTATATATATTATTAGTAGTATTATTTTGTAAGTCACTCGGTAGACAATTAGTTTATTTTAAACTTCAATAATAGTGTTTACTCTTCTCTTTCAAGATTGATGGCCAACTTCATATTTGAAGGCTGTGGCCCAAATCTGTTTCATTCACAATTATGGCATTCCACATGCGTTGTGTAAATATGTGTTGTTTGTTAGAATAGTACTATTTATATACACTTTGCATGCTGTATTTATTGTGGGTTATAGTTAATTTGCCTTCCACTTATTCTGGTTAAATGAAAAGGCACGGAAGATTACTGTCAAGCAGCATATAATTCACAGATGCACTAATGTTGAGAGTGTATGGTACAATCAACAAATATGTGATATACTATAATACAGTATTGAACATATTTGGATCTTCAAACAAATTATGAAAGTAATATGAAAATAGTGTTGTGAACTATTTTATATCATTAGTTATTAGGGGTGGAATTACTGTAGTTCAACTATAACATGTCGATAACACAAAAAACAAAATTTGTGTTGTCCAAGCTTGAGTGACTCAAAATTCCAATTTCGACCTTAATGTCTCCTTAATAGAGTGTCAAAAATATATATATATTTTAATATTTTATGTTTTATTTTAACAGCATGTGATTTAGTCAATCTTTATAGTAATGTATTATATTTTTTCAGTTGTATAAGTACCAAATATCAGTTTATGTACACCTTCATGAACATTTTATATGCCAAATTTCTTAGTATATGTAAAATACTTTTTCTAGCATTCCTTCTCTTAAAAGTTAAAAAAAGAAAAATGAATATGTATTTTCATGTGCTTTCATAAAAGTAAAGGCAATAGTCAGTTACAGGCCAAAAATAAGCAGCATTTTCTACAAGAGTAGAGATAGCTTGATGTATAAGGTGCTTTTCATCTGAACCCAGGGTTTTGGGGTCAACTCTTTTTATCCCACACGTTTTCTTACGACCAAACTCCAATGTCACTTCCTAAGCCTTAAAAAGAGACTTAGTTCATAGATCATTAGTTTATCCTGTAGAGTGTGACTAATGCAACAGCCAGCATGTGACAGATAGAACCTCCTATATACTTATGGTGACATGTCACTCAGCTTAGAATAATTGTCATATTTCCAAAAACTGTTGTGTGTCAAATAAAGTTTTTCTGAGATCAGCAGAAAAAAAAAACTCTTTGTGTGTCTGTGTCACTAGGCGTAGTTACACCCCATTCGATCTGTATAGTTATTTTAATCTCTGTGTGTGGATGTACAATTGGATATCACATTTTCCAAAAAAAGAGCTAACACATTTATTTTGGATCGGTTGAATGTAGTGTATGTATTTCTTAACACTTCCACTTGGCTTTTTTAGGATGAGGAAGAAAAAGTGGATCCATTCTATGAATACCAGGAGAACCACAATCTGATTGGTGTTGCTAATATATTCCTAGAAGTGCTCTTCCATGATGTTAAACTTGAGTACCCAGCACCAATCATCAACCAGCAAGGCGAGGTCAGTCATTCTTAGTGTCTTATTTGTTTGGTTTGGTTCGGATTTTTTCAGTGTGAAACACACCAAAGGAAACCAATCAATGTTTGAAGACTTATTTCCAGTATGGTCCATCTTGTACATAGGGAAACAATACCCTACTCTAGTTTCAGTGTTCACATACGATATATTCACATATATTTGGAACTGATTCCTTTTTGTTATTTATATACCATATTTAACAAGGCCAATCTGTAAAGAAATGTTGCTGATTTGTGTATGTTGTGTGACAAGTATCTGTGATTTGCTTATATTTGGGAGGGTGATGTCATAACACACCCATATATAGACAAATTACTTGTTTTTGTCACATAAAAATTTATTGTTTGAACAAATTGTTCTGTTTATAAGACATGGATATTGATTTTTGAGTATAATTGTTCCCCATGTTTTTTTATTATCGGTAAAAGGTTGCTGGCAGATTACATGTAGAGTTGCAGAGGATCAATCCTCCAGTCTATGAAAAACCAGACAAGGAACCATTAGGCAGTAATGATAGCTGCAGTGGCTTTGAAGTAGTGGGAGAGAATGAGGTTGAGGGCCTAGCTGTTGGAGCACCTCTATGCTGCAGGGTATGATAAATAAGTCATACTTTATTATTCTGATCATCATTTTTACTCGCATTTACCATGATTTACCATCATCACTATCATCATCAGTAATCAAACAATGTAGATACAAATAATCGCATTTGATTTGATAATTGCAGATAAAGATCGTCAGTGCCTCAGACCTACCTCATAGTTTGGCGCATTTTGTTTTCTGCCAATACACATTTTGGGGTCAAGATGGTCCCATGGTTGTACCTCCGTTGATTGGTCCAGAATCAGATGATTTTTTAATGCCGCGTAGACGTTTAAAGGAGGTCCAACGTAAGGTCAAGTTTAATCACACAAGGGTAAGATTTTATGATACTTAATATTTATAATAAAACCTGCCAGATTTAGTGCATAATACAAAAATGTTATAACATACATTACAAAAATAGACCAATAGAATACATTCAGTTTCAATTGCTGTTTGTATTATGTATTGATCGTTAACTAATTATTGATGAAAGATGATATGTGAGGAGTAATTATTTGTATAGAGGTGAGTGCATTTTGGTAGGCAAAGGATAAATCTGGGGCTCCAGACCTTTTCTTGTGCTCGAGACTTTTGGGGCCCCAAGGCACTTGTCTGAATAAGTAAGTGAAATGCAAAAGGAAATGACCCAATTATTATTTTTTGAAAGATTAAATTAGTGAGGATTTATTCAAATGTAATTCATTTATTTTTCTAGGAATTTACTGTCAATGTATCCGAAGAGTTTGTGGAGCATGCGTTAGAGGGGTCTTTAGCAGTGGAGGTATGGGGTCATCGGAGCTCAGGTGAAACAAGTGGTAGTTCAAGCTGGCAAATGGATAATATTCACGCAAAGTCCAAATCATTAGCTGATAGGTAAACCAGAAACTATTCATCAATAGATGTGTTTATTAAACAATTTATGGAAGAGGGTTGCTTCAACACATGGTTCTCAGATAATAGGCAATTTCGATAGTCTACAAATGATTTAGCTTGAAAAAAATCCCAATGTGAATAACCTTAGAACAACATTTAGTCATACTTTAGTAACAGTTAAGATTTCTCTGTGTAACAACTTAACATGTCTTTGATAAGATGACAAAAGAAAAGTACTACTTATGAAAGAACGATCTGAATGTTCCATTTCCGAAAATCTTGAATGTCATCAGTAAAAGATTATTAATGACATCATCACGGAGGAACTGAGGTAGGTGAATACTGAGGCCCACAGCAAAACCCATTAAAGATCCTTTGTTGAAAGTGAATTGGGCACTCCTGTTGCCTAAGCAAAAAGCTAGTATAATGACATGGCACTTATAAAGCCCTGTCCAGACTATCAGATTTTATTTGACAAAACATGTGACATGCCTAAATATGGTCATGATGACATCACATCATGACCATATATAGACACATAATGACTACACTGTATATAGGCATACAAAAGTTTTTTTTTCCATAGTAAATTTAATAATCTGATCAGAGCTCAACCTAATTAATTGATTGGTTCTTAATATTTACTGAGACATTCTCAACAAACAACAGTTCTTTTCAGAACTATCTATGTGGTTTACAACAAGCATTAAATATATCTTTTATATTAATTATTACAATTGTGAATTATATTGTGTTGTTATTAGGTGGAAGGAACTGACACATAAATTAGAGATGTGGGTTGAGATTCAGGAGCTGAATGAGCAAGGTGATTATGTTTCTGTTGAGTGCACTCAGAGACCTGACATTGTATCTGGAGGAGTCTTCCAACTTAGACAGGTAACTAAAATATATAGCTTTTAAATGTTACAAAACATTGCATGAAATTGCAGGAAAGCACTATACAAAGTGGGATTTGCCATGCCAAACCCATCATCAGTGACCAAAACAAGAAAATTGGCCTTTTAATATATTCATATTCATTCTGCATATTATAAGCATTAAAAATGATGCATCATTTACTAGAATTGACTTACTATTGTCAAAGTTATGAGTAAAAGTATTACAGCTTCTCTGTACTAAAGTATACAATACTTCCTAATAATTACTCAGTTTACCCTTTATTGACAGTACGCTGGTTTTCAGGATGCCAAGCCTGAATTATTATGATCATCATTATAATCTTAATCTTTATTATTTCCTTCATTTTCGTCATTATCACGTCGTCATAGTCATCATTATCACCTTCTGATCATCATTGTCAATCCACCTCCTATTTACCTTTGTCATCATTACCTCATCACATTTTCATTTACTTTTAATTTTAGCATCGTACATTTATAATATGACCATTATCACTTTATTGACTTCATCATCGCTCCTACTTCATCCACCGCTGTGTTCTATCATCTCCATCGTCATCATTATCTCACACCATCATCACTATTTTAATTATGAACATCTCCATTACTGTTACGCTTTATGTTCTTAAGGATTTGATATTTCTAACACATATAACAATCTTGAACAATAGGGTCAGTCAAGAAGGGTGAAGGTGTGGGTTCAAATGGTGCAGAACTCCGGCACATTGCCAATAATATGTGAAGCCATCACCGCTGTCTCAATAGGCAGCATCACGCAACGATCAAAATTACAAAAAGCACTGGACAGTTATCAAGACGAAGATTTAAATAAACTGAGAGACAGGTGGTCAGAGGCACTGATGAAACGAAGGGAACACCTGGATGAACAGATACATAAAATCATAAACAAGAAAGGTACAATTACCCATAATGCTTGGGTGACTTTTGTGTTCTATATTTATTTTAATGCTCTGTTATATGTATGTTATGTCTTACAGTGAATTTGTTGTTTATATTTTTTCCCCTAATGTAGGCTATGATTTATAAATTATGGAGCTTGTGCAACAATATATTCCTAGATACAAACCTACAAATAGAACCTACCAACACACCTATGATTCTTTTAATTAATTCAAAATGAAGCGTATGACAGAGTTTATTCAAAGACTTGTACAGAAGAAGAAAAGAGGCCATTTTCGCCTGGTAAAGTGATATTACAATGTGACATGCAAATTATATGCAAATACTACATCATCTGCATATTAACACATTGTGTTTCAAGTGTGTTTTACAGTGCACTAATGTTTGTCATGTTTCCATGTTCATCTACGAAATACATAAATATATATAATAGACCAGTCAATCTACGAAAAAAAAGGGGTCAACCCAAAACAAATTAGAATTATAATGAAAATAATTGTTTTCAACTCAAAATCTAATGAGGAATAACATAGTTCTTTATTTGTTTCACACTCTCAGATTAAAACAGAGACCAGCCATATATCTGTCTCTTATACACATCTAGATGTGTATAAGAGACAGGTTTTGTTTTGTTTTTGGGTGAGTAGGATGAGGCTCTATCAATAATGGACCATTTGATATTGTATTGTGTTTTGCTGTCTTTTAGTTTCCATATGAACTTTGAAAGTTCTGTGCTGTTTTTGTGTTTTGGTGCATTGAATGTGTGCTTATGATTTGTATATCGGGTTTTAAATGCGGTATCTGTGAGCCCGATGTAATGCTTCGATTCTTCGTTTGTTGTGATTGTAGCTTTGTAAATAACTGAGGAGGTGAGGCAATTTCCCGAGAGTGGGCAATGTTTTTTAATCCGACAGTTGCATAGTTTGGTCGGTGCTTGTTGTTTGGTGTGGAGAAGGTGGTTGTTGTGGGCTTTGTTGTATATATATATATATAGATTAAAAGGCAAAATACTGAAAAACAACAAAGCTGTTTGAAACAATGGCTGGATCTCGGTAGAGATACAAAAATGATAAGCAACAGCTAAAAAGTAAACGTAAGTAAACAGTCAGAAATAGAAAGCCAGATAGTATAAAGTGAGAGTTTCATGCAAGCATGATTAGAAACAATAGGCTAGGTGGGATTAGAATAAACATATATATATATATATGTGTGTGTATATATATATACACATACACACACCCCGACAGACACCATCCCAGTATTTCTGAGTCTGGACCTTTATACTTAGTCCCATGCTGTTCATGTGTTATTGAGTGAATGAACAACACGTTGCAATACAGTAGTTTAGCTTTTCTCGCATGAAAAATACCAAATTTGTCTGAAATAGGCATGCAAATTGCAACATCATCCTTCTTGACACAGAAAACTAGAAAGCTAGAAGCTTGATTACAATTTTAAACACCTTTTTTGTTATTATTGGAATTGTTAATTATTTCAATTGCAAATGCAATGGGATGATTGATTGGTCAAACAAGATATGTATAAAAGTAGCTAAGGAAAATGCATAGGCCAACAGGAAACACTTTGCAATTTGTTATGATAGGTCTCAAAAAAAAGATAGACTGCACTAGTATAATAGTTTAATTCCATAATTGGGTATTGACCTGTGACCTTTTGACCTCTCCATAGCCTAATGACAAGTTTTAGCCTAGTAGGTCCTATTATGTTTGTTTCCTAATAATAATGCAGTAGTTTGACTATGCTTTATGTAAACCATCTCATATTTATTAGCGAAAAAGTTAAAAATGCAAATTAAGATAATATTACTGAGGTCAAAGTTCAGATCTTTTTCAACATCAACAGAGATATGTGTTGAGGAAGCAGGCATATTTGTGTATAATTTAAGATTAGTTTCAAGTCTCTACTATCTGTAGTTAAATATGAAAATGTCTTATAATATGGGTCAAATGTAAAATAAGGGCACTTCCAGTCATTTTCAGACCACATTTCCCATTAGACCAAATAGGAACATACCCATTCTGAAAAATTTGACACCAAAAGCAACTCTCTAGGACTAGTAGTTGACAAGATGAAATAACTATATTTTAATGATCTTTCACCTAGATATTAATTTTTTGAAATACCAAATTTAGATGGCTTTCACCAAATAATTTTTTTCTAGATTTTTTATATGTTGTTTAGGATACACATAAAGAATAATAGCCTTAAAAGCAAAACTATTGCAATTAATTCCGGGCATTCGGTAGATAGACTGGACTATAAGAATACTTATCGTGTGTCTGAGTAATGAGTGTATATACATTGCAATGCTGTAAAATAATACTAATTAACAGTATGTACACCACTTTTTGAATCTGACTAAATTTGTTAAATAGAGATATTCAGTCCAAATTCACCAATTTACAAAATAATTTGCCAGCTAATACTTGCTATGATAGTGAATATTCTTGTTTGGCTTTGAGCTTAAATTATGGGCACATGTGCTTATAGCAGGGGACAGTAAAAGTGATTTTTATTCCATGAAAACTTTTTTTTCTGCCTAAAACTTGCTCTCATAAAACATGTAGGAGTTCATGGAAATAAAACTTAATACTGTGCCTGATTTATAAAATAGATATTGAAGTTGATAGTTGAACTTTAAACTTGCATTTGAAGAGCATGTCATTAGAAGCCTCTGGTCATCTACTTACCCCCATTCAGCTAATCATTATTGAAGTGGAGATATCTTATAACAGTCATAAAAGCATTGTTACATGTAAAAGTGGTAAATGTGCCATTTATGCCCATATAAATTTCTTAATATTGGACTTAAATCTGTACTTATAGCAGAAACATATACTTCAAGATCAAGAAGCAACTAGAAGGGAGAGGTGGTGTGGCATTGGAGCATTATGATCAGAAACAGTGGGACAGTCATATGAGAGAAGGAATGTGGAGAGCAGTGTGGTTGCATATTACGATATGTGCATTATCAGGCACTTATAATGCCACAAGTCTGATTATAATGCCAAGTGATTGAAAAATGCCTATTGAATCAGAACCGTGTGCAAGCAGTAGTTGGATTGGATTGGATTGGATTTATTCGGTGTAAACACCAAGGGTAGCCCACGAAAGTCTAGAAGAAGACTTATTTCCAGTGGGGTCCTTCTGGTGGTGATTGGGCAGTACACTGGGAGACAATCCCCTACTCTTTTCCGAAGAGTGTACTGCGTTCTTTAACGTGCACATGGGCCATAATGCACACAGGACCAACGGCTTAAACGTCTCATCCGAAAGGTGGTGTGCTATTGTAACTTGTATTTCAGCCCTCTAGCTGAAACACAAGGAGAGGCAGCGATGGGAATTGAACCGGGGACCTAGAGATCTCCACGGTTCAGCGCACACACAGCGGCTACCACTAGATTAGCTGACTGAGCTAAGCTGCTAGTTACACATAATCCACTTAAAGGATCTCATTTTCATGTTAATAGTGACGTCACAACAATTTTAATTATCATTTAATTCAACCCACAAATAGTAATAATTAATTAATTCAGCACAGGTGTAAATTTAGTAGTATAACTTCAGTGTCACACCAACACCCCACCCTGTGTCTTTCCAGTAATACGTACATTGTGGTTTGGTTTTTTTCAGCTTCTAAAACAGAGCAGGACATGGAGCGAGAGGCAAGTTTAATAAACCAGTGGGTGTCGTTAACGGAAGAACGGAATGCTGTGTTGGTGCCAGCCAATAATAGTGATATCCCAGGTGCTGTAGCCAGCTGGCATCCACCACCTGGCATGGAAACACATGTACCAGTGCTTTTCCTGGACTTAAATAGTAAGCTGGAATTGTAGATGATGTCTGGACTCCAAATAACTAAACACAACTTTCATACTTCATTCTTAACTACATATTATAAAATATATTTTCTGTCATCCATTTAAAAAAAATGTGTGTGTGAGGGCTTACCACTTAATTTATCATTTGGTAGGAAAAACCAAAAAATACATCAAAAAGTCACATTTAAATCAGTGAAGCATTGAACACACCAGTATACGAAGCAAACTTAAAAATTAATTACAACAAAAGTATGGACTTTTAATTAATAAACTTAATAATCAATAATAATGATTACGACATAATAATTATAATACTGTAAATTGATAATAATAATAATTATAATGACTTTATTTCTATCACCACTTCCATTCCCAGCGGATGATATGGGTGCTTATGACTCAATGGACACGTTTTGTGCTGCTGCTTTCAACTCAATACTCCCGAAGGAACATGGCGCTAAGATGATCAGTCTACCAATTGTAAAATACAACGAAAAAGATGTGAGTAGCAAACACCTGGCTCAATAACTTTTTTTTTAATATTCTACTTGTGCCTGACAATTCAATGAAACACATTCAAATTTCACTGAATAAAAATTATTTTTCGTTTAAAACAATCAATTGTACAAAAATGTATGTCAAGTGGTTCTGTATACCACATATTTTTTAAGAACAAAAATATTATTTAGCTTTAATCATTATGTAACTGAATAGCAGAATAAAGCCAGCCACTTACTGCACCGTACAACAGTCGGCCGATAAATCCTACTCTGCTCCCTGTAAACATTATATGACGTGATGCCGTCTGCTGATTGTCGGTGGCAATTTGAATGAATCGTCATTAAAAATGATCCGTTGCGAATGCAACGTGGTGTTGTGTTCTCTATGGAATTGCGTCAGCTGACAACTAGCGGGTGCTGTATATACCAGGATTAAAAAAACATAAGCCTAAATCATTTACAAACTGATTGTAAACCACAAAAAGAGTTTGAAACATGTACAGTATTAGTAATACAAAGACCATTAATTTGTTCAAGGGTAGGAGTATATAAATTTTCACAATAAAAGTAGAACTTTTGCAAAATTTATAGCAATACTTATTAGTATAAGCTGTAGGAATCTTAGTCGTTAACTCAATTGCATGGCCTATGCATTCTCTTTAAAAAAGTAAGATGAACACCTTTTTTTTTTATTTTCTAGGTGTGTGCTATTGCATCATGGGATTCCTCTATACATGACTCACCACACTTAAACAGAGTCACTTCGCAAGATGAGCGTATATATCTAATTGTTAAGGTGATAGTTCAGCTGAGCCACCCAGCCATGATGGAGCTTGTGCTACGTAAACGCATCTGTGTTAATGTTTACAAAAAGATAAGCCTGGCATCCACATTAAAACGAAAGATAACTAAAGTGGTAAGAAGATGAAATTGTACCATCAAAATTAAAAATAATATATGTTCTTACACAGATATTTTGGTAGTGTTAGAGCTGTATTGCTTAATTAGAGCTTTATTATTTCATTATTAATTATTAATATTATTAGAATTATTATTATTTCTCTTATTGTTTTTTATTGCCATAATATTTAGTATTATTATTTTTATTAAATATTCAAATAGTTTCCTCTGGCTTTCTTATTCATCCGTTTGTATGAATCACAGGAGCTACACAGTTGGTTTTAATGTAGCTTCCTTTAACGAATAATAATCGATTCTAGTTGCTGTTATTAATTGACTGGAACAGTCGTGGCAGGGTCACCGACAAGCGGGTAACACCATGACCCTCCCCCCATTTATACTCCTGGGTGAAGGACATAAGCAATGCGACAAGTGTTGGTGCGCGAACTCCCGATCTCACGATCAGAAGTCCAACACATTACACGCTGCCTTATAATTGTGGTAGAACTGTTTCAATCGTTTACCGATGTTATCAACATGACTTCGTCAGGCTATGTCAGCTAGCATCAGTTGTTTTGGGCATTGTGTAAACAACGCCCTCTTGTGCCAGTTCTATCCCATGTTGATAACTTTGACGAAAGCTTGCAGTAAGTTAACATCCATTATGTTTGGTTTATTAACGATTATAACAGTTCTTCAACAATTTTTTTTTTATTGTTTAATGTTATTCTTCGATTAATTTTTTTTTATGAACTTATTTTGCAATTATTAGTTTATGGACCTTTCAAGTGTTGATTAATTGATTATTCTTTTTCCATAGGAAGCTAATCGTTCCTCTGGTGTTACATATGAAATTGTCGCAAACATTCCAAAGGTAAATATACGTAACATCAGTATCAGTAGATTTCCTGTAACAAACAATGCATGAAATATTCATAACACCTGCTTAACTACACCTCATCAATCTCATCAATACAGACAGTCAAAATATGCTGATCTATTCCAACAAAGGGCCTTTTTTTTATATACTTTTTTAAAGTATACATATCGCCCTTATCCTTGTGTTATACAATTTACAAATCACTTTCCCCCGCAGATATAAATCAATCATACAAAAGGGTATGGGGAATGTTTATGGCCATGCATGGTAATTAAGCTTCATTCCAAACCTTTAGGTTGAACACACACATTTATAGTCACCGATGAATAAAGACAAATAGAAATGAAATGACAATTCTTTGCTTCTGCACATGTTTTACCTAGGAAACAATAAAATATTAATACAGTAGTATGTATTGTAGAACTTGTATTACTTGCCTGGTTAAAACCTACCTATCAAATGAGACATTCTTTAGCTCTGTCACGATTATCAAATTCTCTTTGACAGAACACTGTTGTATGCTCATATATAGTCATGATGTGCCTATATATGGTCATGATATGATGTCATCATAACCATATTTAGTCATGTCCCATGTTTTTGTCAAATAAAATTTGATACTCTGGACAGGGTTTAGAAAACATTTTTTTTTTCGTGGTAAATGCACTGTTAGCTCGCCACAATCCTCATTGTCTGGTTCATATAAATGTTATTGTAATTAGAAATATAACCATTTTTATTTCCATAAAGCAATATTCAATATTGTAGAAGAAATATGTCTTTATAGCATATGCTCTAGCAAACCTTCTCCACCCTCATTCTTCAACATCTTTCAATAAATAAATTTCAAAATGTTTGCCAGTGCCTGCTTTGTCCTCCTGTGTTTAAAGTATAGGTCCACCTTCTTTACACATTGTTCAAGCAATAAACTTCTGTTTTTAGGCCCTGGAAGATCCAGAAGACAGGGAGACCTTAGCTATGATGGCAGCCACTGGTGCTGAGAATAAAGAAGGCGAGTCGTACATCGAGAAATACACCAAAGGGGTATCTGCAGTGGAGAGTATCCTGGCCTTAGATCGCTTACGACAGGAAGTGATCATTAAGGAGAAGCTCTCAGCCCAGGGTAAACTAGTCCGCAAGACTGCCAGTGTGCCTAATATACATGTGAGTAATTAACTAATCAATTTAAAAAAAAAATTTCTGTTCATATTTATGTACTGGTACATTACAGTTATAATAATAATGATATGTATACATTCTTTTAATGGTGACACTTGTGATGATGAAGTGATGATAAAGATGATGATGATGAGGAAAATAATAAAAATAATGATGACAATTAAAATTGTATTCCGATGGTGTTTGCATCAGGAGATTAGTTATAGGAATGATGTTGTTGCTCTACCTGACGTGTCATCGTACTGAATGCTCAGTACATTCCTAAATTCTTGCGAAAAAGATCTAGCAAGTTTTTCAGGTGGGGTTCGAACCACAACTTCCAGATAGCTATCCTGGTATCTTACCCACTAGTGCAAGTTCGGTTGTGTTTTTCTGTTATTTGAACAAATTTTATAATATTTTTGCGTATGTATGTTCAGCAATGCTGATGGAATGACCCTTGTGAAATATGGTATTAATTTCTTTCTTGACGGTGATGTTGATTATGAGCTAAATTAATTTGATTAGTAAACAGATAGAAAAATGCCTTTCAGCTTTGCTAATTGATACGTTTGATTGTTTCGTTTATAGCAAGCTGCCTTGTCACAAAGTTTTGACATGTCTCGGTCTGAGAGCTTTGATAACGATTTCAGGGTGAGTCCTACTTTTGCTTTATCCACGTCTACATCATTTGTATCTAATTGTGCCCTATTTTTTTTTTCTTAAGTGTATGCAGGGTATTTTTTATGGGAACTTCTTACATGCTTTGTCAGAACTAGTAACTTTCCTTCCAATCAAATGCAAACTTTGTTCTAGTTAAAGTGGCAGTCTCATATGCTTATATTGTAATGTGGAACTTGGTTTCCTTGATGGAATGGGGGAAGAGTGTTAATTCCCCCACCAGATATCCCAAAATTTCCCAACCAGATATCCCAAAATTTCCCAACCAGATATCCCAAAATTTCCCAACCAGATATCCCAAAATTTCCCATCTGCCATGACTCAGATGACAAAAAACATTTGTTTATATTTTGTTTAAATCTTTTTGGGCATAAGTTCTAAAACACCTCAGAACAGCTTCAAATGGCCCATATTGCCCAGTAATTCTTCTAGGCACCAAAGAGCCTAGCTTATCAATTCAATGCAATTTAAAAATAATTATTCATCACCATATTACAATGTGACGATGGACTGCCAACTTAATCTAACATTATTTTGCTGCAGTTTGACTTGATATTTCCTATAAAGCCAGGACAAATTCACCAAATTTCAAAATATAAAAAAAAAAAGATTTATATTGAATTGGCTTTATAATGATGTATAAAATGTATTGGGTTTAAAAGCCTAATCCATAAGGGGAATTTAAATAAAATGATATTGAAAAAAAAACAGCTTTAAACTTTATTATGCTTAGCACACGTTGCACACGGTTACGTATAACTGAGCGCAAATTGAACAACACAATGTACCTAGCAACTAGCTCTAAACATGATTGTATAATGTCACATCTGTTTAAAGTGTTTAGATGTTTAGTGTATATATAGATATTGAACATAATGCAGTAGAAATGTCAAGCCTTATGCCTTGTCCAAACTATGAAATTCTATTTGACAAAAACATGTGACATTCCTAAATATGGTCATGATGACATCACATCATGATCATATATAGATATATCATGACTATATATGGGCATACAACAGTTTCTTTTTTTCAAAGAAAATTTGATAATCTGGACAGAGCTTTATAGTTGCGAACCTGACAACTTCTTTATTTGAACAAATCATTACTGGCGACTTTGTCCGGGTTTTTGTTGGAACATATCACAAGTAATTTAATATCAGTATTATATTCAATTATATATATATTTTTTCAAGGGTTTGCCTTTTAAATCTTTATACCACCCAAAAAATGAATTTATGTAACTCCCTTCCCATTTTGACAGTCAAAATTTAGTACAGAAAGAAATACTGTAGCCTCATTAGCCAGCTGTCACCTTGTGCCTAATCTTCCATTGATTCATAGATCCAGCTTTTTGGTCTCGCAAGGTATACTCAGTTTAGAGTTATTAGATTATGGGGAAAAGGTGCACTGCTATTCTTATATATACTACATATTAAGTAGGGCGTATTCTTGTTCAACCCATCTTTCAAATTTAGCATTTTAATACATTCGGGGCACTTGTTTTGACCATGGCTTGTGATGAGAATTTGCATTTCTCGATTGATTTCAACTAAACAGTTCCCAGGTCCGTTCCTCAAAATACAGTGCAAATTTGGCCTTGTGAGGCAAAATTTGCACCAAAAAACTTATGCATATGAATACATAAATTTTGCTGTACTTTTTTTTCATGTGAGACTATAAGTAGGTGAGATTCATGTGTTGGGAGCTTTTGTTACTAATTCTCTCCTCAAGTGTCAGGAATATATATTTCCCCATCATACTTAGCCTGACAGTAGCAATGACATACTTCTTCATACCCAATATGCATTTCTTAATACATATCCAATTGTCAGTTTCTAATGCCGGCTATTATATTAATGGGGAGATATTAGAATTATCTGTGTTAAGTATTCCACATTCTGAATGAACCTGATTACTCATACTGCTATACACAACTTGTCATGTGTCACAGTTATTGCAGTTTTTTTTATTGAGAATGTCATATAGAATTACATGCATTAAGTGGTGCTTGACTCTTCATGTCATTGTCATCTATTTTTGATAAACAACAATTTTGGAAATTCTTAGGAAGACATTATAAATGATGGAAAATGTACCAAATGAACAAACAAAAATTTACAGAATACCATCTTCTCAGAAAGAGCAATAGAAAGTAGTGAATGAAGAAATTATTAAACATTCTTTTTCTTATCCTTTTGTTGCATACAATAATATAATATTAAATTAAAAAAATTAAAATTAAATTAAATTGAAAAGGACTAGTAGTAGACCCAAGTTTGAATATGATTAATAATTAAAAGAAAGCGGTTGAAACATTAGCCGTATTCGACTGGTCGTTCTTTGGTAAAACCACTTCTGCCTGCACAGTGTTAAAATCCTACTTAACGAAGATGATCAGACAAATAGAAAACTGGTAAATACTCAACAAACAAAATGGCTGCATAGTTACCTAGTTAGTTAGTTGTCAACTAAATGAACCAGTTAAATATGGCCATTATCATCAAATGATAATCCAGTGATTCTCTTGAAAATGTAATAAATAATTTAAAATCAAATGTAATATGGTCTTAAATCTTAAGTGGTCACAATTTGGTGTAGCATTATTCACTATGCTAAATTCCAAAATATAATGTACTGATAGCATGGAGGTGAGTGTTTTTCTATCTGTCTTTCAACAGATCAAGATAATTGTTTTTTAATGAATAAATTACTATAATTAATGGCATGATGATGAATTGACCTTGAACTGAATTTAGGTATGACAAAGGTTATACAGTATGTTATACAAATTTCCAGCAATGTAGTGGGGGAAAAATCAAATCTCAAGTGCCGAAAGTAAAATTCAAACATGTCTAATATTAAGCTGTCAAAAATTTAGGGACTAAAAACCGTTTAGTGCGAGCAGTGCTATCGTATCTGCAAGGTGTTGTATACTATTGTGAGGTGCAGAAGTGTCCTGGCTCTTCCCCGACAGAGGGGGCTAGTACCTCCAACAGGGTTAGTACCCCTGACAGGTGGACTAGTACCTCGACATTCTTCTTAAATAAAGAATCCCATAATTAACACAAAATTTTATTATCTTTTAAAGAAAAAAATTCCCCGTCAAATTAATTTTTTC